TTCTTCTTGTTTCTATTGTTAAATGGCATAATTAGTAGCCATTTCCCCAAGGTTGCAAAAATAGGTGTTAATTATTCACAATCTAACACATTTCCTTATTTCTTTAGACTTAATGACTCTGTGAAACTATGATGGGCATATAAATGGCATCTTTCTGCCTTATTTGATAAAAAGAGTGAGTTTATGCATTGCACTAAGGCAGAGGTGGGGAACTAAGGACCCTTTATTACTTGTGGACTTCAACTCCCAGAATTCCTGAGCTAGCATGGCCCACTCAGGAATTCTGGGAGTTGAAGTTCACAACTTATAAAAGGGCCATAGTTCTTCACCCCCGCACTAAGGGACGGCTAAACAAACTGTGGGTCACTGATCCTCCCCTTCAGTTATCCACTTTCAACAGATTTCTGTGTCGCCTGCTTCTCTCTGTTTTGTTCTGCCACCGTCTTGGTATATAATGTTCATAAGGGCAGTTCTGAATATATGGGACAGTTGGTTGAGTTCAGATAACATGATATATCTTAAACTAGAGTGATTGCATAATTCATGTGTTTACATGACCATGTTATACCTAAGCATATACAATAAATGATATGATCTTTGAACAATAGTAATGCACTTTTGTCTTCTTCCATAAGCGTATTATTTTTGTAGACACACATGATGAAATGGTGAGGGAAGAAAAAGCCGCCACAACTATCCAGATAAAACTTACAAATCCTGATTATCAATGACTTAACAAGATGGTTATCGTGACATTCTAAGACAGCTGAATATTTCCACAAAACACTGAACTTCAAGCTACCTAACTCCAATTACACTTTATCAATATGTTGTATGAACCTAATCTGCATGATACAAATGTCCTCCCTCTCTCCCTCCCAAGAAAGGGATCACTAAGTATTTAACATAGTGTTAAAATATCCTGAAAAAATAATTAATTTCATTTTAATACACCACACATATCTTAAATCTTTTTACATGGCCTTGTTTCCTTTTGCATTACAGCATCCAACAGAAGCTGGTTTCATACTCATAGGCTTGTCTCAAAGGTGCTCTTTTTTTCAAAAGGCAACTGGGCTGCTTTTTCCTTGAGGAAGAGGAAGACATTTCACTTCTCATCCAAGAAGCAACTATGACCTGCAGACAGAGAATCTCCACAGACATATTTCTAGGCTTAGCAATGATTTACTTAGCCATGGCTAAATAAATTACCTTTGGCTGGATATACTGCATATATTACCAACCAAAATCAAACTAGCTCTGATGTGACATCCAGTCTAATGGCATTAAATATTCTTATGAATCATCAATAAGATTTCAATGAGTAGGATTCATTAAAGTAGCCTGCTTTAAATCAGTAACTGAACTTAAGAAATAAGTCATAGTAACCTAATAATTTGGACTTCCTTTAGAGCTAAAGTGGCCAAAAGAAAGCTAGAAAATTAACTAAAAAGATTACTATTCTAGATATTCCCACATATCTACCCAGAGAGAAGGATAATTTCTAGTTAAGCAAAAAACAAACAAACATGGTTTACAGACCAGAATGTGTTGGTTTCTTCAACCTGTTGAGCCAGAAAGAAATCATTTTATGACTTCTTTTTGATACACGAATCCACAACCAAATTCAGGGAACACCAAGGACTTCACAAACACTCTGATTTTTGTAGATGTCAAGGGCATCTCAATACTTTTTTGCAGGGCCTTCATTGCTACCCTACCAAGTGCTAGTCTTTTATATATTTCTTTACCTGTGTGGGGAAAGGCGGAAACTATCTACTTCATTGGTATCTTTATTATCAGTTCTAAGCCTGGTAGCTATACCTGTTGTCATGTGTCTGGTCTTCTTTATATTTAATCCCAGACCCATTGCATTTTCAGTTACCAGAGTAGTGTCATAAGCCCAGCAGAGATATTGAAATTTCTTTTTCCTCATCTTCTTCAAATAAACCTTCTTCAATATATATTCAGAATTAGTTGTTGCCAAACTGGAGTCAATCTGTTTTGCCAGGGTTTGTCCAAACAGTGGTTTCCTACAGGTTTTGCCTGAGGCCAGTGAGATATTCTGAAATTCTCATTTTCCTATGGACATTTCACATTGACAGTGGACAAAATCAAAGGCCTTTCTATAATCAATAAAACATATTTACCTTTTCTTTTTATTTTTTGGTATTCTTTGGCTTTCCCTAATTATCTAACATGCATCAATGATAATATCACTTGTTCCTCAGCCTTTTCTAAATCCAACTTGATCATCTGGCATCTCACTTTCCATGTAATACTCTAATCCCAAACATTATTTTGCTAACAAAAAAATTAAGGATATTACCTGATAAATTGCATACTCTGTCAAATTAATTTTCTTTGGTATTGATATTTTGATTGATTTGTCACAATATCTTGGCCACTGGATAGTTTTCTAGATTTGCTGGCATGGTTTAGTTACAACTTTACTGGTTCTTCTTCTGTAGTTTGTCATATTTCTGACTTGACAATGACCAGAATGCTGATCTAGGATCATTGTTTATCACTAGAGTTTCTTGAAAATAGGTAACATCTTATAAGATATTGTAATGGTATGTGACAACGACCTTGAGAGACAGGGAAGGGCCACATCCAGGGGAATAATTCAGTAAGAGACAGTTTAGCCAGAAGTAGGAATAAAGGCATGGCAAATGTCTCAGAATTACCCTCATTAGTTTCCTGGGCTGTAAAGGCAGGTGAAAAATGTGCTTTCAACTTGCAAGATTTTGTTACTGTAACTGTAAAGTAAAGAAGAATTAGTTCATCTGGGTGTCCTTCATACCTGGACTATCTTCTATTGCACAGAAGTTCAGCAAACAATTTCCCTCCTTGTCTGATATTCTTTGAATCAGTTATAATCTTAATTGAAGAAATAATTGCCTTGACAGACACTTGTAAGTCATTCCCTGCTTTATTTCTGTTTCTGGGGCCATACTGCCTGTTTTTTTCTTACTATTTCCAACTTTTCATTCCAGTGTTTACCCTCAAGCAATAAATCTTGTTTGCATATTCTGTCAATTTCAGATTGAACTTAATCATAAAACTTGTCAACTTCTTCTTCAGCTTCAATGATTGGACCATCAACTTGGATAACCATCATATTAAAGGTCATTGATTGCATTGTGCCCAAGCCCTGTCTTTGCAATATCCTTCCTGACTATGAAAGCAATGTTTTTTTTGTGTGTGTGCCCTTAGTAAACAGTATGAACTAACTGAAAATGTCCGATTTGCTGGTGCCTAAGATGTAAGTGTATAATCAAGTTACTTTATATTTCATTGCCTTGAATATTCTTATGTTCATTTTTCTTATACTTTATGTTGACAATCTATTTCTACTGCTTCAGATTTTTTAATCTGCATAGAAGCAATGTCAACTAGACATCCCAAAGACTTTAATCTAGATCAGTGGTTCTCAACCCCATTTGGGGTCGAATGACAATTTCATGGGGATCGCCAAACAAGGCTGTCCGCCATTTTTTTCCCCTTTTCTTTGGCCACGCCCCTGGCACCCGGTGATGTATAAGTGGTTGGGGGGTCACCACAACATGGGGAACTGTATTATGGGGTCGCGGCATTAGAAAGGTTGAGAACCACTGATCTAGATGCATCATAAATACCATTAATATTCTGAAAGACCTCAGCTCTTCCTCATTATCGTATTGAATGCCATTCAAATTCAGGAGCCCATGTCATCAGTCACTCTCTCTCTCTCTCTCTCTCTCTCTCTCTCTCTCTCTCTCTCTCTCTCTCTCTCTTTCTCTCTCTCTCACACACACACACACACACACACACACACACACACACACATCTGTGTGGTTTTCTTAGTAAAATACAATCATGGTTTACTTTTGCCTTTTCCCCACATTATAGCATTGACACTAAAGCCATCATCTATCTACAAATCTCCAACATCTTCTTATATTGCTACTATCATTATTGATGCTGTTTATTTCAATGGGAGCACTGAGATAAGGTGCAAGATAATTCTTTATATCTGGCTAGCTTATGAGATCTATGGATTGCCCCCATTGGTATGAGTAAAGATATTTGGGATAGAAATGTGGGTCTTTTGGGGCCTAGCTCTGATAAGAAGTGAATAACTGTTCTGTTTGAGGAAGCAGGTACTAAAGTCCAGTGTTCCTGTTTTAAGTAGTTATGTATTTCTTTTCTTCAAAGTAGTGCTTCTTACAACCTTCTCTCCCTATAAGTAATCTGCATTTTGTTTTTGTTTTCTTTCAGTTTCTTTCTTTCTGTATTTGCTGTTTCAGAATGTTTGTCTGTCTTTGCCCACTTGCTACCTCTTCTGCAGAGAAGGGGTACTTGGGCCGTCATCCTCTATTAAGGTCTCTTGATCATTTATGTTTTAATTTTAGCTCCTTGGGAGCGGTTTTGATGTCTTTGTGATCCCCTCAGTACTTGTCTTGCTGTTATTGTCTCGTCTTTTTCAAGGATGACGGCCTTTTCTGCCCCTGTTCCCACACAGTTTTTCTCCCTTTCCCTCAGAAATTTCCTGGAAATCACTTTGTAATCAAAAGTGATAGGAATTAACTCTTTGCTCCTCAATTTCTAACCTATTTTGGCCCAAACCTAAAATCTGCAAAAACTTGCAATCTACCTAACCTACCTTTAAAAGTCAGAAATGTATGTGACTTTGTACAGAAGCTGCCTGCATCTTGGAATGAGAATGCAAAAATCAAGTGTTTCATTCCATGGCTGAGATAGTTGGTTGCTTACCAAAATGAAATTCACATGAGCAGCTAGTTGGCACTTTTTCTGGCTCGCCCTATCCAGGATTGGGAGTGAGGATCCAATCTAATGGAAACCCAGTTTAAGCCCACAACTGATTTTTCTTTTTCTTACCCTTACTAAATTTCTCCCATCAAGCATCCATGATTTGTTTTCTTCATTATTGAGATAAGTGGAAAGATGCTCTGACTCCCTCTCTGCTTTCCTTCCCTCCTCCAAAATTTGCGTAGATCCTGAGAGGACTAGTGCCCACATGATCTCAGCAGATGATGCAGAATATCCACGGGAATACCGCACCCTGGGCAATGGCACACGCCGCTTCTCCAACGTAGGGTTGGTGCACACCTCAGAACGTCGCCATACTGTCATTGCTGCCCAGAGTCTAGAGGCTCTCACAGGGCTCCAGAAGTCTGAGATGGAACGCAAGAGGGATGCATTCATGGACCACTTGAAGAACAAATACCCACAGCATGCCTTAGCAATTCGAGGACAGCAGGACAGGATCCGGGATCAGGTAAGAGCAGCTTTTCTCTATCACAAAATTATTTTTCTTTTGACAGTGATAGGACTTAATCTAGTCCTGATAGATTGACAAATAATGTTTTTGTAATCTAGTGTTTCTCAATCTGGACAATTTTAAAATGTGTCAGCTTCAGCTCCCAGAATTCCCTAGGAAGCCTGCCAACGTTGAGAAACATTGTCCTAGACCAGGGGTAGGCAACCTTGGCTCTTTTATGACTCATGGATTTCAACTCCCAGAATTCGTGAGCCAGCTATGTTGAAGTCCACGAGTCATAAAAGAGCCAAGGTTGCCTACCCCTGGTCTAGACCAAATCAAACTGGAAATGTTATCTGGATGCTTTCTTGTATATACAGCATTCTCTTCCTATTTCCTTAAAGCCCAAGTTTATTGAGATGTGTTTCTGACATTGATATGAAATGGTGGTTCACCCCCCAAAATGACTAAAGTTCTAGTCACTTCATTTCCACAAGTTATTTCTGAATAACTTATATAGGTAGTCCTCGACTTAACAATAGTTTGTTTAGTGACCATTTGAAATTACAATGGCACTGACCGTTTCTCACACTTATGACTGTTGCAGCATTCCCAGGGTCATGTGATTTACATTTGGATACCTGACAACTGATTCACTTTTATGATGCTTGCAGTGTCCCGGGGTCATGTGATTCCCTTTTGCAACCTTCTGACAAGCAAAGTCAATGGGGAAACCAGATTCACTTAAAAATTGTGTATTACTAATTTAACAACTGCAGTGATTCACTTAACAAATGTGGCAAGAAAAGTTGTAAAATGGGACAAAACTCACTTAACAAATTTCTCACTTAACAACACAAATTTTGAGCTCAATTATAGTTGTAAATTGAGGACTACCTGTATTACAGATTTAAGTACATTAGTCTACTCTTGAGAATAAATATTACAGTTTAATGAAAGCATTGTCAATGTATAATAATTTTGAAGCACTCTCATGAAATTATGATTTCCCAGATTTTTTTAAAAGAAATTACTGAAGCTAATTATTTCGGAAATTTTCAAATTGGAAGTATTAGCTATATTTTAGAATTTTTACCAGTTTTCATTCCATATTCTAGTCTTTATTTGGAAATTTTTATGTTGCACAATTATTATCTGTTTGAATTTTAATGACATTATTGTTATACCTTTGCTATCAGTTGCAAAGAGTTTTTTTTTCCTGCCATGGACCAAGAGCAAATTGGGGCTAAGGCACATTTCCCCTCAGTTCTCCAGGCTTAAAGAAAAAATGGCCTTTGCAATCAGAACTGCAAAGATAATCCTTTAGCTCAATAGATTATCACAAATTTGAAACTAGAGTGAAATGTAAAGATATTCTATTTCTCATGTGTTTTATTTGGAGATAGTTTGGACAAGGACTCCAGTTACATTTAACTTTGTTTTTTTTTTCTTTGTCATTATTCTAATAGTAATATTTTTCCCTTTATGAAAACTCCTCCTTTCAGGAATTGATCTCTGTGTTCTTAAATGTTCAAATCCATATACTGCAATGTGATTTTTAAAAAATAAGAATCCTTTTGGCCTTTTATGTTCAAGTTTAACTAGGATTAAATTAGGTTATTGCAAGATTAAATTTAGAACATTAAATTAGAAGAGTCTGTTCTGGATTTACACACACTTTGGAGCAAGATTTACAATTGATTTACAAAATTTATGTTTGGGAGTAATTTGTTTTTCAAATTGCTAGGCCAAGGTAGCTCTACAACTTGCTTTGCCCTTCTAACAATATCCAGATTATTTCTTAGTTGCTTATGTTCTAGGACTTATAGTTTGATTATGTTCTAGAGAAAAAAATGTGGATGAAGATTAACAGGCTATGGAAAGCTAGGAAACCCACCTAAGTCCTGCCTTCCTGTCTTTCCAAGCGCAGTGCCAATTGCCTTGGCTCAGCAGGGACCCATAAGGAAATTGGCTCATATACAATGAGGTTTGGTATAACAGGGTCCCCAACCCTGGTCTGCATGCCAGTACCAGTCCATGATCTGTTGGGAATCGGGATGTTCAAGCAGCAGGTAAACATGCAAAGCTTCATTTGCACATGTGCAGGATCTAGGTTGTACGCATGAAACCATCTCCTCCACCCTGCCACTGCTGCCCTGCCACAATTAGTCTGTAGAGTCAGAAAGGTTGGAAGTCACTGTGATATACTGTAGTTAAGACCAAGTAACTATTAGGACCATGGAGAGCACACTGGAGTTTGCAAATTGAATATACCCTCAGTATTGTTCCAGCAAATAGCTGTGGCCCATTGATTATTGTAAAAGGTGATTGGATTTGACAACCTTGTGGTTCCATTTCTGTTTGTAGTCTTAAAAAAACTACAATGGTCATTTCTAAAGCTCAAATGCTTGCATCATTGAGGCTCAGATGAAGCCATGAAAGAGTCATCCTCTAAATCAATCCTTTTGCAATCTGAACATTATTCAGATGGTTTCAATTTCTAAAAATTTTAGGAATTGCAATATTGGGTTCAAGAAAGTTGATCTAGTCTACAGATGATGCCTTCAGGTTATGACTCTAATTGAATGGGTTACTCCAAAGTGGGATCATCTATGGTTTACTCTATCTGTATTCTTAAAGCACTTATTGAATTCTTGATCTGTATGACATGATACTGATTGTTTTTGACAAATCGGAAAACAATCTAGAGCAATGTTTAACACACACCCTTTCAAAGGTTTGTCTCTTAAAAAAAACATAAAAGGATGGTTAAATGGACCTGTTTATCTTTTTGAAACAGTCATAAATGATCTAAAACAAAGTCAGCATAGTATGGTAATTTTAAGTATTAGAGTAGGATAGGAGAGAATTAAGTTCACTTTTGCTTCAGAACTGAAAACTCACAGGACCGCTTTGAATTAGTCACTCTTTCGCACATCACTCTACCTCACAGAGTTGCCATTATAAGGGACAAAATAAAGGGAGATTCCCATGTAAGCTGCCTTGAGCTCTTGGAAGTTAGAAATCTAACAAATAAATATAAATAAAATCACTGACATTTGGATTCAAGGCTACACGAGTGCACGTAGAGGCACAATGGCTAAATAACCTTAATGAGACTGGAGAAGATCTCTGCTTCAGTGGTTCAAATTCTAGCATTGCATGTCGGGGTGAGCTCCCATCACTTGCCTCAGCTGCTCTCTACTAATAGTTCGAAAGCATATTATATATGAATAGATAAATAGGTACCATCTCAGTGGGAAGATGAGTTTGCACTCTGTGCAGGCAGTTAGATTCCTGCTGGTTCTGAACCTTCCTAGTTGCCTGGCCCATTTACAAGGTGGTTACAGGAAGGGAGGGGACCGAGGATGCTGCTGCAGAAAGAGCTACTTGTTTTTCTTTCTGGTGGAAAGCCAGCTTGCCCTCCTATGGCACAGCTTCTACAACAGAGCTGGTAAATTGGCAGCCTAACTATTACTCTTCAATAGCATTGCATCTCCTGGTTAATAATAATAAATAATAATGAGTACATGTGGCAAATGGATAAACATATGTGGAGAATACTAATGCTTTTAAAGTGGATGGTTTGCTACCCTTTAGTGTTCTATTTACTTTATTATTTGTTAGGCTTAATTGGACCACATGGCATTTGTAATTATTTTTAAAGAGATTGGTAAAGAAGATATTTCTGTAAGATATAGAGTGTTCAGAATTACATTAATCCCCAGGAAACCTATTGAATAAAATCTAGGAATACCTCAGAATATGAGAAAGATGTTCTGGATTTGATCACAGGGATATCTAATTCTATTTCCACTGGGGTGATATCTTGGGAAAGCTTTCAAAAATAATAGTGCAATAGCACTTTTCTTCTCATGTTGCCTAGCAACTGGTTTGAGTGACACAGTGCCTATAATACTGGAGATAATATATAGCCATCAGGGCAAGTTGTTATGGGTGTGCACATATTAGGACTGAGTATCATTCGATGTTAAGATCAATGTGAGAACATCTTTTCAAATCCAAAGATCAATCCCTGAAAACATGGTAGAATCTTAAAACATCTAGATAAGTACCTTTCGTTAAAGGACAATTCTTCTAACCTTTGTGAGTTACAAGAGCCAAGCTGCTGTTTGATTTTCAGATAGCAAGTTGGTGGACATCATACATTTGGGTGGATTATTAAGGTCCCAAGAGTTCCTCTCAATATTACACAAGTTGGGACTCTCAAGATCTTTCATTATTCAAAGTATGAATCTCCTGATATATGCATTGTAATGGACTTTCAGAATAACCTTGGAAGAGAGGCTGCAGCCTAGATAACAGTCAGACAAGAGATATCAGAAGAAGAAGAAAAAAACAAGGGTGGAGAAAGTGTCTCAGAAGAGATCCTCTCTAATTCTCTAGCTTGTAAAGACAGGGCATGGGAGGGGGGGGAGAAATGCTTTCAGACTTGCAATGTTCTTTCACTGTAACCATACAATAAAGGTAACGTTAATACTCAAGGTGTTGGTTTCTTCTCTGGGATACTTCAAAAGGCTGACATGGACCGACATCCACACATCTCTATGTTGAACTTCAGGACGAAAAACGTGACATACTGAAATTTTTTTACTGTTTTGCTTCATTTGCCCCATTTTTGCCTTCCTTTTATTTAAGAAGGGGAAAAGACAGTGGATCCTATGAGGAGAAAGGACTAAAATAGGTCAGAATCACATTGCTTTTTTGTTTTGTTTTTCCCACAGGTTCCCCCTTCCCCAGTTATATTTTCCAGAATATTCCCTGCCAACCATACAATGCTTTAAATTATTCATGATCAGAAAAACATGCAAGCACCATGCGGGAGATTTTATGAAAATTCTTCTAAGTGGAAAATAACAAGTAGGGGACAATTTATTAGGAAGTGAGTTTGGAAAAAATGATTAAATTCCTTCTTTCAGAACCCTAACTTCATTTACCTCTACCCTAGCTATGGCTGTGCTTTTCAGCTTTCAAAATATGTGAATGATCTCCCATAT